TGGAAACACACTGAGTCATAACCACCCCCTACAAAGCCTAGTCAGAGGAGATGGCACTATTTAGATACCACAATGTTGAATATAGTAAAAAGTTTGATTTGCACTGCTCACCTGGCATGTTGATCATGTGGGCTGAACAGACTTGTGTAGACTCTAGCACTTGAAGAATAACAGCTCTACAATTATCTCCTCCTGTCCTTAGCCTATATTCACCACTGTACTTTCACTGAACATGAGTGGGTGAGAGCATGGTACACTGATGTTGAATGAAGAGCCCGAAAGGTGTTTATTTAGTAATTTATTAAAACATTTATATTCCACATTTCTGTTAACAACATTCTAAGGTACTTGGTTATAAAATCTTAATATGCTAAGACTCTGATTCCTAATGTCATTCTTTGATCAAGTAACCTCCCTGATAGATGGAGGGAATGCTGTAGACACTGTAGATCTAGACTTCAGCAAAGCTTTTGACAAAGTTCCCCATGATATTCTGATTAGCAAGTTAACTAGGTGTGGGCTGGATAGAACAACTGTCAGGTGGATACATAGTTGGCGACGGAATCATAGAGGGTGATGATTAAAGACTTCTCCCCAAACTGGGAGGAGGTAATGTGGGGTACCCTAGGACTCAGTCCTGGGCCCAGTGCTATTCAATATTTTTATTAATGACCTGGATCAGGGGATACAGGGAATGCTAATCAGATTTGCGGATGACACAGAATTGGGTGGAATAGCTAACATCCTGGAAGACAGAAACAAAATTCAAAATCATCTAGATAGGCTTGAGCACTGGGCTGAAAACAACAGAATGAAATTTAACGGGGATAAATGCAAAGTACTGCATCTAGGAAAAGAAACCAAACACACAGTTACAAGATGGGGGATACCTGGTTCAGCAATACTACAAGCGAGAAGGATCTTTGAGTTATTGTAGATCACAAGCTGGATATGAGCTAACAGTGTGATGTGGCTGCAAAACAGACAAATGCTATTTTAGGCTGCATTAACAGAAACATAGACTCTAAATCCAATGAGGTACTTGTTCTCCTCCATTCAGCACTGGTTAAGTCTCATCTTGAGTACCATGTCCAATTCCGGACACTGTGTTTCAAGAAGGATGCCAGCAAATTGGAACAAGTTCAGATGAGTACAACAGGGATGATCAGGGGACTGGAAACCAAAGCTTATAAGGAAAGATGGAAAGAATTTGGCATGTTTAGTGTTGAGAAAAGAAAACTGAGGCGAGATATGATAGCACTTTTCAAATACTTGAAAGGTTGTCATACAGAGGAGGGGTTGGATCTGTTTTCGATCATCCCAGGGTGTAGGACATACAACAAGGGGTTCAAGCTACAGGAAGCTAGATTTCGGTTGAGTATCAGGAAAAACATCCTAACTGGTAGAGCAGTATGGCAATGGAACCAATTACCTCAAGAGGGGATGAGTGATCCAACACTGGAGGCATTCACGAGAAATTTAGACAACCACTTGGCAGATATCCTTTGATTTGTATTCCTTCACTGAGCAGGGGGTTGGACTCGATGACCTTATAGGCCCCTTCCAACTTCAGGATTCTATAATTCTATGATGTCTCAGATAAAGGAGTGAACACTGTTCACATTAAAAGCCCTGAAATGTTTTGCTGTCAGTTAACAGATTATTAACATTAGTGTATAAATTGGGCTATAACTGTATTAGGTCTAACAAGCACATCAGTAGCTAAGAGACAATAAACAACAGATGGGATATTAACTGCAAAACGCCTCCAGACCTCTGTAGCTCCAGCTACAGAGCCAGATGCTGTGGAAATTCCAGAAAAAGAGCTTTGTAGATGAGGTATCCACTGAATAGATCTGCTGAAACCTGTACTCAGGAGTGGGACCAGCTCATGTCCACATGGATCACCATTAATCCAAACAGATGAATAAAATCATCCTACCCCATCCCATCCCATTCCACACATATTTGATTTGTAACTGGAGCTATTTTACCTTTGACTTATCCAGTACTCTGATGCCTATGGATTCTTTCAATGTATCCACTCATATAATGCCATTCAGCTATTTATCCATCTTTTTTTTTTAAATTAAATTATAGTCCAGCAGAGACAGAGAACGACAAGGCTTTGATGCTAACAATGAAGAAATTGAAATAGTGAAAGATTTTGTACATCTTTTCTCAATAATCAATCCAAAAGGAGACTGCAGTCAAGAAAACTGAAGAAGATTGAGATTCAGAAGGGCAGCAATGAAAATGAATTAGAAAAGATCATCAAGTGTAAGGATGTGTCACTGGAGACCCAAGTTCAAGATAATCCATGCTCTTGTATGATCACCATGTATGGGTGTGGACAGTAAAGAAAGCTGACAGGGAAAAATATATTAATTTGAAATGTGGTGCTGGAGGAGAGTTTTCTGGATACTCTGGACTATGAGAAAGACAAACAAATGTGGTCCAGATCAAATCAAGCCTGAACTATCTCTGCAGGCAAAAATGATGAAACTAATGCTGTCCTACTTTAGGCACATTATGAGAAGGCAAGATTCTTTGGAAAATACAACAATGCTTGGAAAGGTTAAAGGCAGCAGGAAAAGAAGAAGGCCAAATACGAGTTGGATTGACTCCCTAAAGGAAACACAGGCTTGAATTCAGAAGAGATGAGCTGGGCTGTTGAGGACAAGACATTTTGGAAATCTCTTTTTCACAGGGTCACTGTGGTGGAACCCCCATGTCATGCCTGTCCATCATGGGGAGCTCAAAGGCCTATGAGAGGAAAGGAGGGGCGGAACCTAAAGGACAGTTAGAAAGTTGGATAGACAGAGAGGAGAGTTGGAGAAAAGAGGTTTTGAGATAGGGAATTGAAGAGAGAGAGAGTTAGGAGATTGAACTGAGAAAGTTAGGATAGAAATTAGAAAGTTGGAATGCTAGGGAGAATAGGAAAGAGTTCAAAAGTATAGAGAATAAATAGATAGTCAAAGAAAACTGTAGCAGTGAATAAATAAACATACAAACCAATGTGAAAGCAAATGATATTTAATGAACACTCCTAAACATCTGTGATTTTCATCTGTGATGTAAATAAATCTGTTGTATTGGCAGCACATGTCTAAGATCTATCTATTTGGTATTGAAGGAATAATACCTGATGGCAGCATGAAGTGAGGAAACGCATCCAGAGGGTGGGCTTGTGTTTAAGGGGAAATAAACAATGGACACTGGGTGGACATGACAGTCACCATAAGTCAAAGGTGACTTGACAGCACACAACAACAACAGCAGAGATAGAGAGATCCTCTCCATGGTTTACAAAAGATTTGTGAACAATTAAGCAATTATGAAGACAGCTACAGAGCGGGCGGAGGAAAGCTCCCATGGAGTGTAACTTGGCTGCAGTCAGGGGAATGTTTTGCAAATTTTGTAATCTATTTCAGGCTACAAAAAAGAGGCTATAATACCAAATTTATGTGACTTTGAATCAACAGGAGGAACTCTTACAAGTTGTTCACAGCCTTACAAATTCTGGGACAGATGCAAACATAACAGTCTAGAGCACTGGTTCTTAACCTTGGGTTACTCAGGAGTTTTGGACTGCAACTCCCAGAAGCCTTCACCACCAGCTGTCCTGACTGGGGTTTCTGGGAGTTGCAGTTCAAAAGCATCCGAGTAACAAAGGTTAAGAACCACTGGTCTAAAGATCTGCAACTGACTGGCAGCCTATTTTAGATCCAAGGTTGAATAGATCCATTAAGACCTTGACTCCTTATTTTTCCTAGTAGATCAGACTGAGATGTCCAGTACACTGTCTAAATAAAGTTTTATAGGATCAGTTTCAGTTAGTAAGACCTGAGAATGTAGGCACCTGTATGCTGTAAAGCTACTACCTCTTATTTAGATCCTTGCCCATCATGGGCAGCACTTTTTTTTGCCCATGTTGGCTATTAAAACCCACCAATGATACATCAATCAATGCTTCTCTCCAGGAAGGCACTGTGCCCTTCTATTTAAAAGAAACTAAATTAAGGCCCATTCTTAAGAAAACTAATTTGGCAACTGGTGATCTGAATTACTACAGACTTGTCTCAAATATTCCATTCCTTAATCAAGAGGGTGGTAGCTGACCAGTTGCAGGTGTTCCTGGAAGAAACTGTTAGTTTGGATCCATTTCAATCAGGGTTTGGGCTGCAACATGGTACTGAAACGGTATTTATTACCCCGCAATCTCATTAGGGAGACAACAGGAGGAATGTAACCTTGCTGCCCCTCATGGATCTTTCTGAAGCCTTTGATACCATCAACCACAGAATCCTTCTGGGATGACTACTGAGTTTAGGAATGGGGGCCTCTGCTTGGTTCCAGTCCTTTCTCAATGATCAATCCCAGATATTACAGCTTGAGGATGCCATATCCACCCCCTTGGGACTCCTGTTATGGGGTCCCACAAGAGTCCAACATCCTCCCAATGTTTTTTGACATCTATGTGAAGCTGCTGGAAGAAGTCATATGGAGATTTGAGGTTTGCTATTAGTATGCTGATGACATGCAACCCTATGTAATCCCAGAAATCAGCTATCCGTTTCATCTACTACTCTTAATCCACGCTGTTAGAAGTGACCACACCAAGTCAAAAAGGTAAATACAAGGAATTTTGCTTTTTCAATTGTAGTCCCTAGTCTCTGGAACAAAGTGACAACAGAGATATGTCAGGCTCCTTCCCTACTTATCTTTAGAGAAAGATGGAATTAAAGCAGACTTTAATAATGGAATTTTCTGATGGCATCATTTTTGTTCTTCACCAGTCCTAGATTTTGACAGTTACTTATAATTATGATTGCATTATTCTCTGTGTACTGCTGTATTGTTTTGAATGCCTTTTTTGGGGGGGAGTTTTAAGCTTTGATCTTGTAAACTACCCAGAGTAGCGCCTGCACTAATGGGGCTATATATAATTCAAATCAATCAATAATGGAGAGCAGGAAATATAAGCCTTAAAGACCAACCTTCTGGCCGCTGGATACAGGTGTGCTGGTTATCACTTAAGAAAAAGCCCTCACGGCAATGACACTCGTAGCTCCCCATCATGTTGACACAGGTCTGCTGGCAGCCACCATTCCCTTCTGCACATTCATCCACATCTGTTTCAGGAACCAAAGGAGAGAATGAGGAAAAACAGACACTTCATGCCTATTAGTGTTAACAGTATTTATAAACTGTTCTGCCAATGTGGCCCATCAAAACAATTTACAGTTCAAAGACAACAGTACCACACTACAGAATACGAGCATCGTCAGTTTAACAGAGGGTGTTAAGAGTCAGAGGGAACTGGCTCATACAGGAAGACATGGCATGTTTCAAAATGGCTCCCATGGCTTTTCCCATGCTGCTCCTTGTGTCACAGGCAAGATGAAACCTTCCAGTGAATAGTTGTGTCCACAGTCTAGTCAGTGCCTAGAGAGAGGCATCCAAGGGGGACATTGCCAAGCTTCAACTGGACGGAGGTCTCTTCTCAGGTCTTACATCCTGAGCTGTTTGCTCTCCAGTTCCTGGGGATTTCCATGGAGGGATATTATGGAGAGATGTGCGGACAGAAATGCTGAGTGTATAGAAGCACCTTCAGTTTATTTGGTGATGCTAAGTACAGATAAATAAATCCCTTCTCTATAAGGTGCTGCAGCCTCCAATATCTGGTCTAATGTACTATCGCTGCTTTGGTCTGTTACCTAGACTAGGCTTGTGAGTTAATGACACCTTCTAGGAAACAGGAAGCCTGAATTCTGGCGTCATCTCACAAGCCAAAGGAGAGATAACAGACTCTAAAAAGTCTTTCCATGCAAATTATTTTCTCTGACAAACATACTTATCCACAATAAGAAGCAGGATAGACTCCCTGCTTCAATTTGCCAGTTTATTCCAGTTTACAATCACTAGCCTAGAAATATCTCTAGCCCTCAATTCTTGGTTGCCTGGTCTAACTTTGTCTCTTGCCAATGTTTTTTAAAGGGGTCTTTACCCTTTAAACAAGAGATAGGCAACTTGTGGCCTTCCCAGTGATATTATACTGCAACTTCCATGAACGGTATTCAGTGTCAGTTAGGACTAATGGAAAGAAACTGTATTCCAAAAACACAACTATCTCCAACATTTAAAATCAAAACTTCAAAACATTGTTCCGAAATTGGGCAGCATAGCAAGTTTGGAGATTACTTAGTCTACATACTGCACACATTCTTTCATTAAAATGTAACAAAGAATATCATCCTTGCTTTTTATTTGATGGAAATACATTCACTCAGACATAGGCAGGAGACAATTTTGAGATGGAGGGGTGATGAAGCTCATTTAGTTTAATGTGGAGAGACAATGTACATGAATAGAGTCTCTCTCTTTCTGTCACTTCTGCTGATTAATTTCAGTTGAGCCAGCCAAACATATTGTGATCTGCCAGAAAGTTTAAAAAGGCATTTGTATTGAATCAGATAATACTGAACAGTAGGAAGCAAGGGTGCCAAGTATAATAGCAGTTAGGCTGTTTTCAAGTAAAAGTTGCAACTTCTCTCAATGGGAAGTGAGACAGATGATCTGTAGTAATATTCACAAGTGTTAATTGCTAAGCTCCAGTCAAATGGATTTGGCAGCTCTTGCTCTGTACAAGGTGCTAAGGTGAGTAAGAATCACTGGGTTGGAACTGAAAGACACAAACCAGCACTAAAAAGGAATAGCGACAATTCTGTAATTCTAGTTGGAATGAAAAGACATTGGGATTTCTTTAAGGAACAGTTAGCTTTTGATTGTGGGGTTATTTCTTTAGAGAGAGAAAATGAGCAAACCCTAAGTGAGACAGCTTTTAAAATCTCGGTCAGAGAAACTTTCCAGTTCTTTCTGGCATCTTTAAGATTCAACTGATGGTTTGTTATTTGCTGCAGAAAAGCCTCTACTCAAAATTAATCAATCACATTGTCAGTTCAAACCCTCACCCGCCCTTAGAAGCTCTTGGCTTCTTCTCTGTTTTGGTCTCAAATGCAAATTAAAATAAAAAAAAAACATAAGCAAAACTTTATACAAGTAAGGCTTGTTAGCCTGAATGTACGACACAGAGAAATGCTAGCTCATGTCAAGTATTTTAGGCAGACACGACTCACCAAGGATACAGACCTGCATTGGGAACTTCCAAAGGATTAGTGCACACGTACCTAGCATTTGTGGACTAGCATTTTTGGACCTTGAGCACTCCAGATATATTTTTGAGTAAGAAAAGACATCATGGATTTTTTACAGGAATGTGGGAATAATTTTGTGATATTTCCACTTGGCTTTTTTGAGATTTGGGGCATGTTTTTTCTTTCTTTCTTCAAAACTGGAAGTGTCTTCAAGTTTGAAACAAAAATGCTTCCCTGGGCCTAGAACTGGCTGAGGAGAACATGACAAAATTACCCCATGCCCCTTAGAAGGCATGAGTGGCCTTTTCACCACGTCATCATTTTGAGGTTTTGTGTTTTTTTTTGGAAGGACATACAGAGTCTTGTGGTGTTAGGCAACCATACATGGCCTGAACTCTGTCACCAGTAGAGAGTTTTCAGTAGGGAGATAAACTCAGGTCCATAGAGAGGTAACTCGGGGCTCAAAACACAGCTGTCTTTGGGTCTTCTTCTTGCAATCTCCTCTCCATGGTATATCAATAGATAATACAACATACGTATTGAAAAACTTGTGCTAGCACTCTGCAAACCACCAAATAGAGGCTCTTATAAGAACTGTTCTTAAACCACCAGTCAGCAATCTTGAAAGATACCCTTTGATTCCAAATGTTGCATTACTTGCATGTTCTCAAGGAGACAGTCCCTTTTTCTAACACTGTGATTGGCAGGATGTACTATATTGAACAAAACACAATCTGTAGTCCTACAACATATTTTATTTCGTTGAGTGCAGGTGACTGCACTATGCAAGCAAAACAATAACAGACCTGCGTACAAGATTCAGAAATCATACTGATCAAAAAGTTGGAACTAGACCCTAACTCTGGACAAGGGCTTTGTCTTTGGTTGGAACTGTTGAAATGTTTGCAATCTCACATGCCACCTTTAGTAAATTTGGCTGGGTAGGACTTTTCTGGACTGGGACAACTGTCAGTCAATCCAGCACTAACCAATTATTCCTTCCCTGCCTGGGAATTCAAAAAGAGCATGTGCTCTGTGTCTCTTTCCCTCTCCTAACACTGTTGAAGTTTGTTAAAGTTATATTTGTCAGTTTGCTGTTTGATCTGTTCAACTATAAGTAATAAAAATATTAATTCTTTCTTCTATTAATGTCTCAGACTGAGCTATTGAGTCTGTAAGTGCCAGTTAATGAGAAAACGGGATGATCTGCTCTGGGGAACTTATTTATTTATTCATTCATTAAATTTATCCCCCGCCCATCTAGACCGAAGTCTGGGTGGCTATTCTGCTCTGTGAATTCCTGCACTTCTGCTGCACAGCTAGAAGAATTTAACCAAAAATGCAAAACTCTACAACAGGAACAGAGACACCATCAAATCCATAGACATTAGAAAAAAGAGAAAATGTTTGGATTTGCAGATTGGCTACTTTAATACCTCAAGGCCTGAACCTAAAAGACAACATAATTCATCTGCTGTGGATACCCCCATCTTCTAGGTTCTACAACTGCCACTTTGGAAGCAGCATACTTTTACCAAAGCAACTGAGGAAAAAATAATTTGCTGAAATACTTCTGTTTGTTAATTACTCTTGGAAGTATAGTTTATGATATAATAAATAAGGCAGATACTTTCACTAATAATAATTCAAACTCCATTATAGTGTAATATTTTCACCAAGCTATGAAAAAACAAAGAAACAAAAACAATGCAAACATGTTTGCAAGATGGTGGTATCCCCTCATCAAGCCAACACATCACTCTCTCATCATCTCAACCTCTCTCTCTCTCTTCTTGGCCTGTAGTTGACCTTGAATCATTTATCAGTTTCAGTTAAAGTATTGTCATTAGATGTGTTTGAGCATGTTGTTTGATTACACAATACATGTATTTTCTGCTTTTCCATCTTATTTTTCCTAACCCAAGAAATTTTAAAGTGTTCCTCCTTCTTTCCATTCAGAACTGCTGCTTGTCCTAGTGTATAGTCAGCAGTCAAAAAAAAAAAAATCATCACACGATTCCCGCCTGTCTGCAAGGAAAAGGAGGGTGGATGGAGTTCCTATTTTATTCTATAACCCTATTACTTTGAAAGTCTGTGGTAAATACATGTCATATACATGCTATTTTATATGTGAGAATAGCAACACAGACCAGATTCTTTTCAGTTTTATGACAATTCAGGATGGAAAATTATGGAAAGAGAGGTAAAGGAACAGGAACATTTAAGAATGGCCTCTGCTTTAAGTTGCCACAATATTCCTTAACAGTTTTGCTGCAACAAACAGGGCTACACTCACCCACAATTCCCTCATTCTTTATGGTTCTTAATAACACTAATTCAGCAGTGGGAAACAGAAACAGTCAGAGTCTGGCAGACCTCCCCTCAGGGGCTCTAGCCAATTGGATCAGACATCCTTTGGATTTTGGGTAGCTTGTTCAACTATTACCACAACCATCTGGGATCACCCCCAAAAAATCTGTGCCAGTTTTGTAATTGTTTTTTGTAGAGTTCTGCAGCACAAACCCTGCATTTGGTAGCAATCTGGTATACTGACATTTCAAACTGGGCTTCTTAATTAATATCCCCAAATCCAAATCATTGTCCTTGTCATTAAAAACGGACCTGAAGTTTTGTATTATTTTCAAGGGCAAATCCTGACTTCTGCACACACACCCAAGTATATTGAACTGATATGCACTGTTCACCTAAAAGTCAAAGTTATTATTTCCACTCAGAACCTGTAGCACAGTTTTGCAAATGTGTTGATTGATTTTGTACTGTAAACTTCATGATTGGCAGCATCACTCAAAAAGATGTAACTGTACCTGATGTAGGCTTCTAGTGGCCATCTGAACAATTTTTAAAAAATCAAATTAATATTAATTATATATATTTTTTCATTTACAGAGGTAAGAAATGCTTTACAAGCTTTGGCTGTGAAATTGCTCCATTTGTGAAACTGCTCAAACTCCCGCGAA